CGCCTGTTGCTATTTATTTGTCTGAAAAACAACTATATATAAACATTATCTGCCTATCTATCTATCTATCTATCTATCTATCTATCTATCTATCTGTCTATCTACACTGCAAAAATGGTATCTTGTCAAGTACAATTATCTTGTTTAGATTGTTGTAAGTTTAATTTAAAACTATCTACCTTATTTCTAGACATTTTTTACTTGTTTTAAGTCATTTTATTAAGTAAAATCATCTCACTGTATTGGCAGTATATTAAAATGACTTAAAACAAGTGAAAAGTGTCATGAAACAAGCTAGATAATCTTATAATAATTGCACAACCATCTCAAAATGGGAAATGTTAGATATATCGACTAGATTTAAGATAATTTCACTTGACAAGATGCTGTTGTTTGCAGTGTGTCTGTCTATCTATCTATCTATCTATCTATCTATCTATCTATCTGTCTATCTATCCATCCATTCCGCCTAATAATATATTATTATTGTTATTCATTAAATTGCTGTTTAGGTGTTTCAGCCATACTCATTGCTAACAGGTGTACAAATTCAACCACATAGTCATGCAGTCTTCATAGACATACATTGACAGTAAATGGGTTGTTCTAAAGAGCTCAGTGACTTTAAACATGGCACTGTCATAGGATGCCACCTCTGCCGCAGATCAGTTCCTTATATTTCAGGGTTTCCATGGCTGAGCAGCAGCCCACAGGCATAAGATCACTATGTGCAACGCCAAGTGTCGGCTGGAGTGGTGTAAAGCACACCACCACTGGACTTTGGAGCAGTGGAAATGTGCTCTCTGGAGTGATATATCACTCTTCACTATCTGGCAGTCTGAAGGAGGAATCTGGGTTTGGTGGATGCCAGGAGAACGCTGCCTAACAGAATGCACAGTGCCAACAGTAAAGTTTGGTGGAGGAGGGATAATGGGCTGGGGCTGTTTTTCAGGGACTGTTCCAGTAAAGGGTAATGTTAACGCTATACGATGCAAAGAGGTTTTAGACATTTATAATTATATGCTTCCAGCTTTTTGGCAACACTTTGGGGACGGCCCATGCCTGTTCCAGCATGACTGTGCACAGGTGCACAAAGTGTGCTCCATTAATACACAGTTTGATGAAAGAAGAGTAGAGGAACTCCAGTGGCCTGTGCAGAGCCCTGACTTCAACCCCACTGATCACCTTTGGGAAGAACTGGAATGTTAATTGTGAGCCAGGCCCTCTCGTCCAGTATTATAGTGAATGGACACAAATTTCCACAGACACACTGCAAAATCTTGTGGAAAGCCTTCCTAGAAGAGTGGAGGCTGTTATCGCTGCAGAGCGAGGGCAGCTCTAGACTAATGCCCATGGTTTTAGAATGGGGTGTCCAACAAGCTGATACAGGTGTAATAGTCAGGTGTCCACATACTTTTGGCCATATAGTGTATCTGTCTGTCTCTCTGTCTCTCTATCTGTCTGTGTGTCTCTAATTTAAGTATTGCTTTTCTCTCCCGCTTGCCCTCACCTGAAGTTATTCCAGTATCGTTATCCTTCCACACATTCTCTACACATCACGTGATCCTCTTGTTGCCTGTCAGGGCCTGAAGTGGTAGGGGGTGGGAGTAGGGGGTCTGGTTGGTTTTTCAGCTTTAATCAATCTCTTCAGACCACTCTGGGGACCGAGGCTTTGGTGTTATCCTCGAGCGAAAGTAAATACAACATCAGCCCTCAGCTCACGGTTTAAGGCTGATTCCTGGACTCCTCTGAAGTGGAGGTCTAGACTAGACCACTCTAGAGCCCTAACAAGAACCTCACACTGTGTCAGTAGTGATTCTTTAGGAAATGATTCAGTGTATCATGACATATCCATTTTTGCCGTAATTAATTTTGATTATTTAAGTATCTGTACACATTAATGTTTAGTAAAAATGCACAAATGTGAAGTAGGAATTGTTTACACAGTAGTGGAGTGTAGAGCAGAGTATTTCTGTCAACAAAAATTAATAGCAAACTAAAACTGATTTAGCGTTGCTGAATTGAGGAAACTTATTGTAGTACAGTTTAGAACTAGAAGTTGGCTTGACAAAGTCATTGCTATGGAATCCCAAGTGGTTGCTAAGGTGTTGCTAGACTGTTGTTATGGCATCCCTGGATGATGCTAAGGTGTTACTAGGCCGTTAGGAACCCCAGGTGGTTGCTAAGGTGACGCTAGGCTGTGGCTATAATATCAAAGGTGGTTGCTAAGATATCTCTAGGCCATGCTATGGTGTCCCAGGTGGTTGCTAAGGTGTTGCAAGGTCATTGCTATGGCATCCCAGGAGGTTGCTAAGGTGTTACTAGGCCTTTGCTGAGTTAGTCTCCTTTTGGTTGCTAAGGTGTTGCTAAGCCATTAGGAATCCCAGGTGGCTGCTAAGGTAATGGTAGGCTGTTGCTATGGCATCTCAGGTGGCTGCTAAGGTGATGCTAGGCTGTAGCTATTGTGCCAGGTAATTGCTAAGGTGTTACTACAGTGTTGCAATAGTCTCCGAGCTGATTGCTGAGATATTGGTAGGCCATGCTATGGTGTACCATGTGGTTGCAAAGGTGTTGTTAGGGCATTGCTATGGTGGCCGATATGGTCGCTAAGGTGTTGCTGGGCTGTTGCTATGGTACACCAGGTGGTTACTAATGTGTGTGTACATATATAGTGTGAGAAATGGGAGACAATTGTATTTGAACAATTGCTGAACATAAACTGTACACGCAATCGATCCCAAAAGCACAAGCGCACTGTTCCCATATAGGTTCTACGATTTGATACGTTTGATGGGTCTAGCTCAAAGACTGTAACCTGTGAAAAAGGTAAAAGCCAGCTAGGTTACTTTGAATATGCACTGGTTTCTGGAAAAAAGAAAATCTAAACCGAATAAAATCTTAACTAAAAACTCGTACTTTTTTTGAAACTAAAAGAAGCTAATGGAACTAACTAAAACTACATTAAAATATGAAATACAATACACAAAAATTAAAGTACAAAAAAAAGTTAAAACTAAGGAAAATTTCAAAACTGTACCAGCCCTGATACAGACAATACAAACCAAAAAAAAACACTAAAGCTTTTTTTATTTTTTATTTTTTATTTTTTCAATAAGCCCAGTAATTGTATTTTTACCCACTGATTCAGAATTGTTTTTAAAATACTCAGAATATGTACACAGTAGTATATACAAATATATACAATACAAACAATACACTAAGCTTTTGTTTACTTTCAGAAGTTGCCTGTAAATTTTATTTTGGCCACTTTAACGAATATTATTAGAATTGATCCTGATCAATTGTAACATTCAGAAACAGGTGCAGCTGAATCGCCGTCTTCAGGCTGATGCATCACGATGCATCCGTGCATCTTTACAGTCTTAGTGACGCCGCCGCAGCAGCACA